TCATGTATGTGTATATCCTGTATTTGGTTTTTGTGTGGTTTCGATAGGAGAATAAAGCAGTCACTTGGTTTACTATCACGTCTCCACTTGTCCTTTGTCCTGAGGGAACCTGAAAATGCTACAATATGTTTATTGTTCTAAGTGGATTTTTAATCATGCCACCAAAAGGGGAGAAAGAAAAGTTGATTTAATTACAACGCAAAACTCCAAATCTTGTTTTTTTCATCTGAGTCGATAAGAACAGAGACACACTATCTTAAATACAATAAAACACTTTTTTTCCTATTTGTTCTCAGACATTCTCAAAAAGCTTAAAGCAGTTATCAATATCCTGTTATATAGAATGCTATATAGCATTCTGAAATATAATATATATGATAGAGGAAAATCCTATTTCACCTCAGTATTCAAGGTAGTCAAGGTAGACAGATAATATCCTAGCAGTATAATTTACATAAAAACAGACTAAGTTACACTTATAGGATTGGGTATTGCATGCATAACATTGAAAGGAAAATGATCTCCTACCTACAAATAATTGGCTGTTGAGCTGCAGATGAATATGTCCATCAGCAGGAGCTTTTTGGGTCTTACTTGGAAACTCATCTACTTGAAGTGAAGCCTCTTTCACATTCCGCTCAGCTTTAACATAATGCCACTGGTCATCATTCAGTTGAGTAGGTGTCTTCACATTCACTTCAAAAGGACCATTCCCGACATCATATGAAAAAATTACTTCAGAAGGAGCTAAAAGTCAAACAAATTATATGAGTCTCTGTGAAAGAGAAAGGTTTAAAACTAAACTGTAAATATAATATATTTCCTTTCCAAACAATAGAAAATGAAGACAACAAGGTAAAAATGTGGCTTTTTGCACTTACATGAAAAAACAGTAGTTTGTTTCAGTAGTAGCCAGAATTTCCAAAGCCAATGCAATCTTCCATTTTTACCTTGATGACTACACATTCTTTCCTACTATTTATAAATTCTATTCTATTCTTCAAATTCATACTGATGCATGCTGTTCGATCATACTAGCCTACTAGAACAAATTGAAAAACAATAGTGAGACATAAACACTCCAACACCCCGTGTATAGTTTCTCTAACATTAGATATACATTTTCAGTCAATCAAATCCTAATTAATATGACACAAGGAATAATTGTATTGAAAGTATAACATTTACAAAAAAAAATTTTGCATAACACTTTTAGATTTGGGAACTGCAACAGCTCATAAGGATCAAGCTGACAGGACCCCCTCAACAGATTAAAGGAACCACATAACTCAATGACAGAGCATGTAGTGTGTGCTGTTCTGATACATGCAGGCCTTCAGAGAGCATAGATCTAGGATTAGATGGAATAGATTGGAATAGGAAAATGTTATACAACTCGGAAGGAGAATGAGTGCTGAGGTAGCTTGATGTGAAAGTGATAAACTGGTAGACAGTAAGAACATGTTGATACTTTTTCCTTTGGCTGCTAAACAGATGAAATGATCAAGATGGCTGATCAAAAAATGAAAAATAAGTACTAAAAAAAGGGATTTTGGCCTACTACCAGAATTGAGCTTGAAATATTGAAAGCGCTCTGGCTTGTCTGGTCCATTTGTTATGGATGAATAAATTAGTATAGATTCCAAACAGAACCCACAAAAATTATTGGCAAAATCAATAATCCTTGAGGGCAAGTAGGAGTCCAATACTTAATGTAACTTAATGAATGAGGACAGATTTCAAGCGTAACTCCCCCCATACTGACATGGTGTGCTGAGAGAGCTAGTGGAAAAGGGGCCTACTACTAAAAGACTGGGAAAGAGGGATTGGGGAAAGGAGAGATATCAAATATTGGAGATAGGCTGGGTGTGATTTTGTGGTGGGTTGGATGAAATAAAACAGAAGAGGAGACAGAAGGAGGGAGACTAATGGGGAATGTGGAAAGGGGGAGGGATAGGTTGTTCCAGAGGTGTGAGGAGGTTTGATGACATGAAAATCATAGAGGCTGCATAGAGCCAGTTCCTTTCCACAGAGCATGGAGAAGTAGATGTCAAAGAGCTGCATGTCTGAGGAAGAGTGATAAGGCAATCATCAATCCTAATGGAGGAGGTGAATGGTGGTCAGACTGTGCAGGAAACAGGTGAGAAAATGTGTTGGTAGCTGAGCACGAGGTACAGACAATACACAGGAATGACAGAGAATGAAAGGTAGTGCTGTCTCTCACAGAAACAAAAAAAATACGGTCAGAGAAATGTCAGATTCAGAAAGAAAGAAGTGCAAAGAGGGTACTCAGAAGGTGAATATTTATGTATAGTCGATAGAAAGTGGAGAGATTAGGAATTTAAACTTGTAGTGAATTTCTGTTGTAAAATACACCATTAATTATTTGGAAGAATTATATGAAATCAAGCACAGATCATATCCCCTAAGCACTTCCTTCTTATTTGCAACAAAGTTTTATTATTTTGAGCAAGAGTTATTCACAAGATTGACAACTGACTTGACAGAGAATTATGCATGCATTTGTAATGATATTGAACTTTACTTATTACTTTGGCAGTGGTGAAACAGGATGCTAACAAAGCTGCATTACATCATGGCATGTATAAAACATGCAAACCATTATGAACTGTTCTACAGATATGCAATACACTACTAATTATTGCAAAAATTAGAAATGTTTACTTGGTTCTGATCAATTTATCAATTTTGTCTTATCCTTCAGATGGATATTATACGAATGAACTATGAAACAGTGTAGCAGTGCCACAATTTATTTGATAAAGTCAAATAAAAATGTATTTGACTGATCTTATTATTTAAAGTAAAAAAGGAAATGAGTGAGTAAATTAGTTTCTAAACAGTCAAAGAAATAATGAAACTGTTTGATGCAACATAATGCACAAAGTCAATATGCACAGAATGTGACTTTATAGAACCTCTCAAATAGCTAATTATACTGAAAGGATTTTTTTGCTTAACAAACAGATGTGGCTCATCTATCTGGTATTTACTTTAAACTGCATTAAACATGCAGTTAAAACAAGAAAAGAAGATTTACTTTTACATTTGAGGAAATATTCAATTGTATATTTACATGCACTCCTGTATAGGATCTAAACATCGCCTTCTTTTCGGACCAGTTTAGAGTGTGGACTCACCTGTGTAGAATTATTTAGTTTATGAAAATGACTTACTTTCCCACATACAGAATTATTTGATTTTGGAAATTCTTAATTTGAACAATATATTGCAGAAGATTGGATGTAGTGTATTGGAACTCATTCTAACTTAAATTATTTTGTATAATCATGTGTGTTTTGCAGCCTTGTGAATTTGTAATTGATTAGATTATTTCCATACCACCAAATTGAGCACAGAAAATTAAACAATCCATGCAACCTTGCATGATTTGTATGTTATTTGTTTAGGACTACACGAAGAATCCTTGAGATTATAAGCCTCTTTTGTTGCACTAGTTTGTTTCCACACTAAGATGGCTAACACAACACAATATATATCCAATTCTAGTGTTACAACTGTTGTCCTTGAAGACCATTTTCATCCTCTGAAGGTTCATGAGTAATGATTTTAATGAGGTAACAAACACCTTGAAGTGTGTTATTCATAGGTTGGCATTTCCAGGGTTTTAGATTTCCTTTTTTTAAATAAGTTTCAGTTTACCATTTTTTTAAACTGTGAGGTCTGTCAATATATTAACACCAAAGCTCTTAAGACCTATGCTTACTCTATGCACATCCATCAGTTCCTCTCCATGTGGTGTAAAGCACAGTGTGACAGTCTACAATTCAATAGAAAACCAGGGAAAAATACCAACAGAGGTAAAGTAGGCATAACAAAATTCATGTGGTGAAAGAAATGTAGCATATTCTAGTAATAAATCATTTTTATGTATATTGTGCTATATTTTCATAACAAAAATGGTACATTTACATTTTGTAAGCAAAATGTATATTATACTCCTTAATTCTTAATTCATTGAGAACATGAGAGTAAGCTTCCTAGTAATAATCTCCTTATGCAATTATATTTTATGTAAATATTTTAGAATATTTATATTATTAATAGCACAAAATGTGTGAACTGCAATTTTTTTAAGAACTTGTGTATTCATAGTTATGTGCACTGACATTTTGTAAGGTTCTGGATTCTGGTTCTAAATTTAGAATGAAGCAAATATTGTATGACAAAAAGAGATTAATATATTTTGCTTAATTAGAATTTAATAAATTCAAAATCTACTTACAGTTGAGTTCAATCCGTATGAAATCTTTGATTCCGAGATTTTCCAGAAATACACCAGATGATGCTGTAGTTTTGAATAAGAATGATATATCGGCACTCAGTTCACCATCGAATGTTGGGAAGTGAAGATAGGAAGTTTGCTTGGTGAAAAAAGCTGAATTCCAAAAGTTCTCTGGTCAGAAATAAAAAAGAAAGAAATTTACGTCATTATAGACAGACCACACAATTAGTGTAAAAGAATGATGTATGGATGTTTGCCCATTATGCCTTCTGGCATGTAGGCACAGCAACATCCTTCCATAACATAATTTTTTTATGGGACAGGGTTGTTACCCTTGTGCCCTGGAGGACCTGGCACCTGACTTGGGACACCTACCCTGTGATTATGAGTCTCATGCTCTACCAACAGAGCTAGTCTGGGCTTTGAAAGAATGAGGTTGCCATTAAATCTTTCCAAACAATATTTATTGAGTCTTTACTCCAGAGAAATGGAATCCATTACAATACAATGAAACAGTACAAGTTCCTTGTTACAAAAATGTTATTAGTTCATGTAATGAAATGTGATTAAGTATGAACAGCACAAATAAAGGATTCAGACCATTCAATTGATTTGATTTTGTGAAAATATCAATTGTTAATGCATACACATTTTTAAAATTAATATTTAAAATTCAATATTTAATTCAAATGCTTAAAACAGATTAACTGTTGTTAATTGCAAAAATTAAAGAGAAAAAAAATGTAGATTGCATAAATACTCATTCTGAAGAATTCAATATAATGGAAGCTCTTTTGGCTAACAGCCAGGTCTTTGTGGGTAAACCTCAGCTTTCAACATGCATACTGGCATGGTAGAATTTATGCCCATTCTTCTAGGTGAATTTGCACTCAGGTAGTTTGAGGGTCATTTATGGGCAGCACTTTTCAAGTCTTTTCACAGATTTCACAGACATGTTCATAGTATCACTCAAATGCTTGGAAACTCCATGCAGAATTTTGCCATAGGTTTTCCATTCTGCCATACTGGATAGCTTTGTGGAGTGACTGGGATATTGTTGACTCAGTCACATTTTCTCTCATCTCAACCACTGACCTCTATATCTCTTTTACCATTGTCTTCATAATACCATCTACATCCAGTTTCATCCTTTCCTTGATGTTCAGTCAGGAAGGACAGTCAGATGTAGGCAGCTTCTGGATGGTGTGGTACACACTCCACTTCTTAATGTCATAATGCTCAAAGGTATATTATGTTGGGTTTTTTTTTGCACCTTCTGATGTGTGCTTTTCTACATTTTTATTCTGAGTTTTTTTTAAAGCTCTTTGGTTTTCATGGTTGAAATCTTAATTGAATTAACTACCTGACTGAGGGACCTTACGGAGACAGGTGCATTTATTGTCATATTACATGAGCCACTATTATTGCATACAAAGACCATTCAACAAACTATGTGACCTGCTAGGGTAATTTGTGCACCAAAATTAATTAGGTTTGCCACAGGTTTGATTACATATGCAATTAACACTTCTTTAACACTTTTTTTTTTACAAAGTGTCATGACTGTGTAGTGTGCTCTCTGAAGGCACCAGTTCTGTAGGGTTTGGGCATTTACGGGGACAATTATTAATTATAGCCGTAAATCACAAAATGATTCTTTTGATGGCCTTAGAATCCAACCATGCGATATAACTCAAACAACGCACACACACACACGGGTACTAATACACGAGGACACATTTATTAATACATAAAATATGCATAGAAACCTAACAGATCTTATCGAGAGGGTTAACAGAATACAAAATGTATATATTCAGTCAGTTACGAAGTGTTACACATATCAAGAGGACATACGTTCAGTATATCATTCATTTAGACCGTTTCATAAAGTGAACTTGGTTACAACTTCTACATTAGATACTCAAAACA